CGGCTCGTTTGGAGGATTCGCTGTTTTGTGTTTGGCTTTCTTTCTTTCATTCGAAGTGGATCTTCATTCTTCTTCTTTCTGTACATGCTTTCCATTCTGCACTCACACGGGGCTGGCTAGCTCCTGGTACTTTGTGCGCTGCTCTTTGGCGAAACGCCGAGCCGTTGCCGCGCTCGTCGTCGGCGGCTTGGGCGTCGCGATCCGGTCGATGGTCGCCGACGTGCTCTGCACACGGTGGGGCGGGCGGCGGCAACTTAGTACCCGGCTTCAACTCTGATGTCGCTTCTCTATGGGAGCCACATGCGGCGCCGGCTAGGGTCGTGGCGAGAGGGGAGAGGAGGCGCGCAGGCCGCGCACCGCGCTGTCCGTCGCCGGCTCTGAGACGCAGCACCACGCGCCCGCCTCTGCGGACAGGTAGGCGCCGACGCGCAGCGTCAGGTAGATGGGCGCAGCCACGGCGGAGAGGAGGAGGAGGACGCCGAGTAGGAGAAGGGCCATCGGCACCTGAGGTCGGGGTGGGTGGGAGGGGAGGCTGAGACGGGACAGCCCTGGGCGGGGGCAGGGAGCTGCGAAGGACGGGAGCGCGAGCGCCAGGACGAAGAAAGTGAGCATCAGGGTGCCGTTAAAGTACACGCGGCTCCACGTCAGAGCCCGGGCGCCGCTGAAGGTGCGGATCGTGTACTCAAAGTCGTCGAGCCCCTTCTCACTGCCGTCCTTGAGGATCAGCAACCGGTCGGTCGCACCGACTTGCTTGTCGGGAAACTTTGATGTCTGGAGGCGGAACCACGAGACGAAGCTGGAGGTGTCGCCCCCGAACCACTCCTCGAAGATGAGAAAGTACTTGAGCTCGTTCCACACCGCGTCCAGGCTCGCCTTCTTTGCGACCGCCGGGCTCTCTAGCAGGAAGGCGGTCACCGCCGGGAGGATCGTGGCGCCGCTGTGGAGCGCTCCGCCGTAGGTGCCCTTCTCGGCGCAGCACGCCGGGAGCCACGGCGACATGTTGAGCCACGCCTCGAGGAAGGGGAAGGTGAGCCAGCGCAGCCACTCGTTCTTCCGCACGCGCACCTCGATCAGGTTGCCCGGCCGGCGGTTCCATGGCAGCACCTGTGGTGGCGAAGGCGCACAGTCTGACGGCAAGTCTCGTGGAGAGGGTGAGGTGCCACGGCGGCGTCCCGCGCCATCTGGGCGACGGGGTCGAAGCGCATGATGAAGTTGAAGGTGCTGGGCACGTTCTCGTGGATCCAGGCCTCGAAGGCGGGGTTCGAGATCTTGGTCGGGGCGAAGGCGTACACGCGGACAGGGCCGTCAGGGGCGGCGGCCTCCTGGCGGTGGAGAAGCGCGCTGCTGACGTCCCATCGCGTCTCGTGCGTCCACGCGCCCGACCACTTGACGACAAACTGCTCCGCGTCCTGATCGAGCGTGATCGACAGCGTCGACGCGGTCGGGTCGCCCTTTGTGAAGGCGTCAACGCTGCTGCTGGTGTCGTTGACCTCGAGCGCGTCGATGTGACCGTCCTTGAGCGCGCGCAGCCCGGCGTCGAAGCCCACCAGAAGGGCGGCGAGGCAGATCGAGACGGCGCCGCCCTGCGAGTGGCCGGTCACGGTCACCTGCTTGTAGTCGCCGATGCGGTACACGCCTTTCATCGCATCGAGGAGGAGGTATGTGAAGAGGACGCCCATCGCGCGGTCCAGGTACTGCCCGTGAACCATCAGCTGCGCGAAACGACGGTTGCTCTTAATGGCGACATCCTCGCCGCTGCTCCTCTTGCCGACAAAAATTTGGTCGGTGCGGACTTGTCCCGCAAAATTGCGCCTCGCGTCCTCCACATTGTTAATGATCGTTCCGCGGTTGACAATAACGAGCTCCTCGGAATTCCTCCCGCGAGTCTTTGCAAATGCTATGTTGCTCGTCCCGACGGAGATCAGGCTCGGAGAGCCTTCCACGCGCAGTGCGTTCACGAGTCGCAGTCCGACGTCGTCCTGATACGCGAGCCCCATCGCGAGCTGGCTGCACTCGAGCGCGGAGTCGGCATCGAAGGTGATCGGCAGCGTCATCTCCGTTGTCGTTATCTTGTCCGTACACTGCATCGGGCGAGGAGCAGGCCGGTGCGAGGAGCACGGGGCACAAGGCGGCGGCGAGGAGCACGGGGCACAAGGGTGACCCCGCAAAACGCCGCTCTTCCAGTTGAATTCTTAAAAAATACAAGCCTCTCTCACAGCACACTGGCAGAAGAATTCAAGCTATCCACAAGTGCTCTCAGTGTGTGTGTGTGTGTGTACTCACTCACACCTCTCACAGCACACTGGCACAACAAGGGTGGTGACGCTCTCGAGGCTCTCGAGGTGTCGAGTGGAAGCCCTTTTTCCCTGAGGGAGGGTGTAGAGGATGTAGAGTGTAGAGCGCTGTAGAGCTGTAGAGATGTAGAGCGCTCTGGAGCGCTGTAGAGCTGTAGAGCTCTACATCCGGCGCGGGACAGAGCGATGCAGATGTAGAGCACTGTAGAGCGCGATTTTGCTGTAGAGTTTGTTGTAGAGGCTCTATGGGCCGGGGGTGGTATCGGTATTTCACGTTCTGCGTCCAGGGAGGACCGTAGGAGGGGAGGTGCAGGTGGAAGGGCCGCCAGCAGGTGGTCATGCCTTAAAACTAAAGACGTTGGACAGGGTGGATGGTGCAAGGTGGCCCGCCACAACAACCACTGGAATGAATTTGCGACTCGTCGCAATCCTGTGATTTACGTTGTCGTTGATACTTGATTATGATTTTGTCAGAATTTTGATTTTTGTGTGCGAGCTCCGTGACCCCTGTGTGTGTGTCTTGCTTTGCCAACAAACCTAAATCAAAAGATCGGCATGGGGTGGTGCGTCGGCAAGACATTGGGTAGTGGCGCATCGGGCAGACCAGTGTGCCCCAGCGCCCCCGTGGTCTCGTGAGAGTGAATATGTGAAAACATATTCGAGAGTGAGAGAGAGATGAGAAAGAGAATCCAAAAACACTTCCAAATTGGCCGGTCTGCGGACTATACATCACGACTTTTCTCGACAGCGACGAGGACGGCGGCTCGGTGCCGCTCAGTACCTGGCGCGGTCACCATCGCTCAGTGCAGGAGCCTGACGGCCGACGCGCGGCCTCACCCTCTTCGCATTTCGCTACACGGCAGCAAGCAACAGCGCCGGGACCTCACTTCACGCGGCCGGCCGCTTGCTCGCCTCCACCACAGCGAAGCCCTTCTTGCCCTGCGCGTTGACCTTGCCCCGCGCGTAGCCAGTCGCCTCGGCCGCGTCGCCAAACACCTTTGGGTGGCACGACCCCTTCCCCTTGGCGCAGCCTCCGAAGTGAATCTTGACGGAGAGTCCCGAGCACTCGAGGTCGTACCACCTGCGGGCGCACAAGGTGAAATTTTGAGACGTGGGAGCCAGCCTGTCGGCGTAGCGCATCGGCGGGGAGGATGGGCTGTGCGTTCCAGCGCCCACTTGTTCTTTTCGGGGTTGTGCATGTAGATCCATGTCGTTGGCAGCGGTGCTGCAGTCGGCGGCGCCTCTCCGGAGGGGCCGCCCGTGCGCTGCTTCTTTGTGGCAGGAGTCTTGACCTCACAGTCAACTTCGACGAAGCCATCGGCGAGCTTCTCGGTGCGCTTCTTCACCGCCGCCTCGCGTGCGGCCGCCTCCGAGTCAAAGCGCTTCTCGGCCGAGACCGGCGTCGCCGTGCTGCGGCCCCACCGCGTCTGGAGGAGGCAGCGCTCGCCGTCGACGGCGATCTCAAAGAATTGGCCGGTCTCTAACTTGCGGAGGAAGGACACGATCTCGGTGCCAGCGGCGCCAGCCATCGGTGTGATTGCACAGATTGTTGGCGCTCGTGAAGCCCACATACTGTGGTTGAGGGGTTGGGGGTTGAGGCCCCCCCTCAACCACATCTGGTTGACGGTTGAGACCCCCCGCCAACCCTTTAGTTGGGGGTTGAGGCCTCAGGGGCCTATTCACAGGCTCGCGCGTGATCACAAGATAAATTGGAACAGCCCTGCCGCCAAAAAATCGCTTCGCCTGCGGCGCGCTCTTGCGCTCCTCGTACTTCGAGCGCAATCCATAAGTAGGACTGTCGCCATTCAGGCGCCTGATCTTTCAGCAAAGCGATGGCCTACCAGGTACGAGTTCAGCGGCGCCAGCCATATCGGTGTGATTGCACAGATGTTGGAGGGTCGAGTGGAGCGTTCACAGCCTTGTTATGAGAAGAAAATACGCACGACAGAGAGAATTTTATAACAAAACTCCCTCGCACGACACTGGGCACGGGACTGGCGCGCACTGGCACTAACACAGGTACACCAAGCAAGAGAAAGCGCATACAAAACAAGCAAGGTGCCGCATTCGTCGCTGTGCTTCTTTAGCAGGCGGTGGACTGTCGGCTGCGAGGACGGTCGCATTTGCGCGAGGCGAGGCGATCATTGTTGAGCGTTGCATGAGCCATGACTCGCGCCAGCGCGTGCGGGAGCTCCTGGCTGAGCGTTGAGTCCAGGCGAGTTGCGCTGGCCACTATCGCTACGCCGAGCCGAGCTGACGCGCCGAGGCGCCGGCCAGTCGCAGCCGTGAGGCATGCCATAGCAGCAGAGGCACCTCCTACCCATTGGGCGGGCAGACAGAAGGCCAGGGCAGCACTGGCAAGTGCAACGCGCCTCATGTCGGAGAGCGACCGTGCCTCGTTCGCCGCTTATTGATGTACGTACTTTTAGCTTACTGGGAGAAAAGAGAAAGGGGGTTGTGTCTCTCTCTCTTGATGTAGAGTTTGTTGTAGAGATTTCACGTTGTAGAGCGCCTCTACATCGCTCTACAACGGAGGCGCATCGTCACGCGCCGGATGTAGAGCTCTACAGCTCTACAGCGCTCCAGAGCGCTCTACAGCTCTACAGCTCTACAGCACTCTACACTCTACATCCTCTACACCCTCCCTCAGCAATCGGGCCGCCGTCGCAAACGAGGCGTGCTTGCGCAACGAAATCGAGGTGCAAAATGTCCTTCAGGTGCCGTTTGCGTCGAAAAAGAAATTTCGCGCTTTCGCGAAAAAGAAACTCGACGAGCTTCTACAACCCGGAGGACGTCGGCCAGCGAGGCGCTTTCGTCGGCCTCGGCAACACCGAGCCCGGCACGAGCGCGGACGTCTTCGGCCTCGAGCAGCGCGGCGCTGTCGGGGACGGCGACTTCAGGCCGAGCGACGGCGGCGGCTATGTGGCGTACAAGAAGGCGGACTACGCGCACGCCCTCTCGCGCTCGGACACCGACGTGCAGATGTACCTGTTCGAAACCTTCGGCGGGTGGTGCAACGCGGTCAAACGGCTGTTCTACCAGATGAAGGACAAGGTGCGCAACAAGCTCTCGAAGCGGCAGCACGAGGACGAGGCGAGCTGGTCGACGCGGTCGTGGCTGTCGCTGCAGGCCCAGCGCATGTCAGTCGCGCTGCAGCTCGCGGCGGCGGAAGAGATTGCGACCGAGCTCAGGCTCGCCGCGGCGTCGGAGGACGCCGCCGTCGCCTAGACTCCCCTGCGTCACTACGTGCCTCCCCGTCTTTGTAGCCTGGCGTTTGTGCCCCGTTTGTGCCGCGTCCCGTGCCCCCGAGTTCATTTTATTGATTCAGCTTCTACAACCTCTGCACCCTCCCTCAGGCCCCCACACCTCATGGGCTGCTGCTCGAGCACCGCCGCCACCGACCGCGCGCCCCCAGGCTCGCTCGCGACGCCACCAGCATCACGCCACGGCGGCGCGCCCGCCTTGGTCTTCACCACCAAGCCGAGCAGGCCGGTGGGCGACGCAGCGGTCCCGCCCGCCCGGAGGTGCATGTTTGCCGTCGTGATGCCCGCGTCAACCGGCGCGCGGCCGTGCCACCTCTTTGTCGACCGCGAGAAGCCAGTCGAGGCGATCCTGCACGCGGCCGCCTCGCACGGCGGGTTTGCTGTGGATAAAGGCAAGCTGGTTGGCTCGCCTGAGAGGCTCAACCTCTTCACCTTCCCGGAGGGCGAAGTGGTTCGGCTCGATCTCGAGGTAGACGCGCACCTCGGCGCGACGCTCCATGAGGGGCGTCTCCTCGTTCTCGAGAAAGGCAATCGGCTGAGCGACGAGCGCTGTCGAGCCCTGCAGGCGGCCCTGGGCCGGTGACTGCCGCTCCCCGCGCTGCGTTGAGGGCTGGTGCGTCGGCGCGTCGGTGTGCGCCGGGCTGCTGCCGCCCGAGGGACACTTTGCGCAGCCACCCGGAGGCTGGCGAGGCTGCGGAAGACGCCGGCTCGCAAGGCGTTTCGGCCGTCGCGGTTGCTGCGCCCTTCGCCTGCCGGACGCGGGCCGTCTGAGTACCGCGCTGCGAACCAGGCCAGGGCCGGGGCTACTTTTTTGTTAATTTCGGCCGTTTTTTGTTCATTTTGGGGGCTACTTTTTTGTTCATCACTGCCGGCAGTGGTGTCCAGGCACCCCCCCCCCCCCCCCCCACATCCACCGCCCGACCGCCCCCACCGCCCCCACCGCCCCATCCGCACGCTGTTGCAAGCCGAGTGCGGCGGTGAGAGATCACGCCGTGCCGCGCCCGGCATCTAGCCGTGCCACACTGAACCCCCCCCTGCAGCCGCGGCGCGGGCCCTCCCTCTCGCCATCCGCCGCTGACGCCGCAGGGGTCCAACCGCAGGGGTCCAACCCCTCCCCCTCCCGCCCCCCACCCCCACACACACCGCCTCCCCGCCCCGCCTCCGGTGGCAACGCCGTCCGGTCGCTTCTCCTCACCCGCAGCTTTCGGCTTCGCAGGAGCTCCACCTCCATCTGGCATACGTGGCGTCCATACCCGTCGGCATGCGCCGCCACCGGGTTTGCGAACACCGAGTAGACCTGGTTCGTAAAGAGCCGTTGCAGAAAACTGACGTAGCATTGCAGAGTTTGTCGGGATCTTACCACACCGGTCACCGCTCTCACCTGCGTCCTGCCGCTCTCACAACAGATAACTTCACAATTCAAATTTCAATTCTGAAATTCATTTAAAAAGTAACACATGGCATGTGACACATCACAATTTTGAGCGAGCCGCAGCGGGCGGGCCCCACACCCCCAGTTGTGTGCGCGAGTCGTCGATCGCATGCAGAGCCTCCTCCACCTCGAATCGGATGCCGACGGCGCGGAGGGCATCGACGAGGGCGGTGATGGCGGCGGCGCCTCCGGAGCCGACGAGGCCGCCCGGCGTGAACACGCCACCAACTATGGGGAGCCGCCGCCGCTCCTCCTTGATGAAACGGGCCATGCTGAGGAACATGAGTGCGGTGGCGATGTAGCCCGGCTCGGGGCCCGAGACTAAGACGGTCGCGGCGCGGTCCTACAGTGTGAGCACGCCGAGGTCGGGGCGGGAGTACGGTCTCGCGCCGCGACTCGGAGCACCGCGATACGAGGGATGCGAATACAGCTGACCACAGCTGAGCACAGCTGAGCACAGCTGAGGCACAGCTGAGGCACAGCTGAGGCACAGCCGAGAAGAGCTGAGGCACAGCGGAATGCGTGTCCTCTCGAGTGGCAGCTTGACTGCTCAGACCTGTGCTCCGCATCTAGGGGTGCGGTCGAAGCTGGCAGAAGGCGGACTGTCGGGTGTGGCGTCGGACCAGCCGCGGCCAAAGAAGACGCTCTTCCACGACGTTGCCGCGAGCCTGCGCCAGCCGCTTGCAGCTGAGTGCGCGTCCTCTCGCGTGCCTCGTGCTGCGCGACTAGGGCCTCGAGATATGGGGAGATATGGGGAGATATGGGGAGATATGGGGAGATGTTGCGCATCTGGGGCGGGGAGCCTCTCCTCCGACGGTCCCTCGTCCGAGAACGCGCCTGAGGGTGGGCAGGCGGGGAAGGGAAGGGTCGAGGGAGAGGGAGGGAGAGGAGAGGAGGGAGAGAAGAGAGGCGAGAGAGTGGAGAGAGGCGAGAGAGGAGGGAGGCGAGAGAGGACGGAGAGGCGAGAGAGGACGGAGAGGCGAGAGAGGAGAGAGAGAGCGGAGGGCGGAGGGCGGGGCGCCGAGCGTGAAGAGGGCCGGCTGGCGCAGCAGCAGGGCGCGGCCCCAGCCGGAGCCGCTCAGCGCGTTGAAGAGCGCGCCGGCAAGGGCGACCATGGCGGCGGAGCGCGCACTCGCCACCGTGAAGCTCGCGCCAAACTGCGGCGTCAGATAGGGCTCCCCCGCCCGCCGCGGCTGCCTCGCGAGCGCGCGCTGCGAGGTGCGGACGACGGCGACGTCGGCGCCGGGGAAGAGGAACGAGTACCGCGCGAGCGCCTTTCCACCCGCAGTCGGAGTCAGTGCTGCTCACAGCCATCGGCTAGGTTCACTAGCAGTGCCGCTGTGTCTTCCACGAGCGCGTGTGCCACGCGCGAGGAGGAGGCGTGTGTCGCACTGGCTGGCTGACTGCCGCGGGCGCTCCCGGAGCGCCCTCTTGCCACGCGCAATTAGTGTTGGTCAGGCACACGATCCCATTCACAGTGCCACCCTTCGCGCGCCTTTTGCCACGCCGGTCCAGCCGCCACCTTGAGCTTCGGGCCGAGCGGCGGCGGCGGCCTCGAGCTCCCCGGCGCCTCCTCTTCGAGCTTGGCGAGCAGCGCCTGGGGGGTGCCAGGGACGTTGGGGGTGGGACATGCTGTCCTTGCAGAGCCTCGACTCTATCGCGGCGAGCAGACGCCTTGCGCTGCGCGCGCGTCTCGCCCGCGCCACCAAAGCCGTGGACCGCGGCGCGAAAGGTGGTCGCGTGCCCGCTCGCGCCAGGTGGACTCCCCTCGACCGAGACCACGTGGTACATGTCCGCGTGCGCGCACAGGGCGGGCGGCGGGAACTGCATCGCCGTGAAGAGCGTGCCGAGATCAGCCGGCACGCTGTCAAAGGCACACGCGTGGACGACCAGCACGCCTGCCGTGCGGGCGGCGTCCGAGTGCTTGAGCTGGCATCGGTCGATGAACTCGGGCTCACCGCACAGGTCGCAGTAGTTCGTCGTTGTTGCGATGCAGGCGCTCACCACCGCCTCGCCGTAGAAGCGGTACGGCCCGGTTGCGTTCATGAGCACATGCGTGCGTGCGGACATTGCGCGCAGCGAGGCCTCGTCCGACGTATCAGCGATCACCACACCGGTCGGTGGACTCGCCAGCCCGCCGAGCATGCCGTCGAGCTTCTTCTGCGAGCGGCCAGCGATGGCCCAACGGACGGTTGCCCAGGCGCCTCCGGGCATGGACCACTTTGAGAGCGTGCGCGCAACTCGCTCGCCCGTGTAGCCGCTCGCACCGAAGATGAGGACGTCAAAGTCGCGCTCCCTGGGGAGATGAGACATCCTGAGTTTGGCCCGGTTGCTCGCTGGCGGCGCGCCGCTGGGACCCGGACGCCAGCACACACGGCTAGATTTCATGGCGGGCCGCCTAGGCCCTGGGGTCGGAGGTAGAGTCGGTGGTGGTGCCGCGCGCGGCGCGGGCTTCGCTGTCGGGGGCGTCTAGGGCGGGGTCGGGGAAGGAGGGTGGGGTCGGTCGCATTGGCGGCCGCGCGGCGGTGGCTGCGGGGGGGGCGGGAGGAGGTGGTGGCGCCGACCGCAATGGCGGCCGACCCGACGACGAGCGCCGGGCGAGATCGCGAGGGTCGAGGGTGAGCTCGAAGCCGAGGGCGGCGGCCGAGTTCTGAAGTTGTGTGTACTCTCCCGACTGCGTCCACCCAACGGAAAAAGACAAGAGCGTGCTCGAGTACGAAACGTGCGTGTGAGAGACAGCCGTGTGTGTGAGAGACCAGGTGCCGCGGGAGGAACCACACCGGCTTAACTGGGACACGGCCGGCTTCGTATAGCTGGCACCGGGTCTGCCCCCCGGCCGCGGGATGTGTGTGTGTGTGTGTTGTGTGTGTGTGTGTGTGTATCAAGAATATTCACTCTCACACACGCGCGGGATGTCAGCAATCGGCGCGCTGATCGGCCTCACCAAACCTCTCCAAAACGTGTTCTACTTCGCTCTAACACCGCGCAGACCGCAGACTGGCACTAATGGCGCGCACGCTGGCATTAACAAACCTCGGCTGCGCACGCCGGGCACACTGTGAGAGTGTGAGAACGCGCTAGCCTAGGTAGGACGCAGGACGTGAGCACCATCGTCCGTCCCAGACGACGCTGTCCTTGGGTCAGCTCAACGAACGGAAGAAGTCTGGCGTGCAGGGAAAGCCAGCAGAGCCTACCAGCGTGGCATCCACATTGTCCGAGTCCTCGCCAGGAAGATCTCTGTGGCCTCGAGCAGCCTCGTCGCGAGTCGGAGCGAAAGGCGGCTCTGGTGATGTCTGGATTGGTAGGCATGCGCGAAAACGGTCGACTAAACTATGCTCACGTCACCTTCATCGCCAGGCCGACGGCTGCAAGAGAGAGAAAAATGGAGCAGCATGTATCGTCAGTTCCGGTGTCCGTTCGACCACCGCAGCGGCACACGGGGCACGTCGCACGCCTGGCGTGCCGCCGCCACTCTTCGAAGCAGCTCGAGTGGACTGGGTTGTCGCAGCGGGCGCATGTCCACACCGCGTCGTCCGGATGCATAGACTCGAGGCAGATGACACAGTCGGCCTCACAGCGACCCGAGCGCCGCATTGCGGCGTTCGTTAGCTGTGGGAGCTGCGTCGTGAACCCAGACCGCTGTGGAAGCTCCTGCATCGCGCCAAAGACTGGCCGCATCCAGACCTCTTCGTTCTCCCCCTTCGTGGTCCCGAGGTCTCTGAAATAAAAAAGGAAAAAATGGGCCTCTCCCTACCTAACAAATACCTACCTACCAACGCGAAGCTCGCCCACCACTCGTTGGTGTGCCGGTGTGTGTGCCTCCGCGCCAATCTGCACCCTTGTCGTGCCAGCGTGCAGGTGTGCAGCTGGGATTTCTCTTTTTTCTCAAATTCTATAAATTCGATAACATCAGGTTAAGCTCCACAAAACAAATCCTAAAGTCGACTAAACCCGAAAACGGAAGCGCCCGCCGGCGCCGGCGCGGAACCTCCCCTTGCGAAGGAGTGTCGGCGCCGAAGCTGTCGTCATGATCCAGAGCGCGTCGTCTGCGTTGCCGTTCGGCCGCGCGCGGGCCATGGGGAAGCAGGAGGAGACAACACCGCTCTCCGAATCCGTCGCCACTGATGACAGAGAGCAGGCCACGACCACCACGAGTGCCCCCGCGGTACGTCCATGCCCTGTCGTCTGCCCACGGGTGGCAATGGTTTCGCCCGCCATCCGCCCGGTTGTGCCGCCTTCCGGAGATGACGTCCGTGTGGCTTGCTTCGTGGTGAGCTGTGCCAAGACAATCGCGCGGGTGCGCGGCCGCCGCAGCTGGCCAACGAACTTTTATTTTCTGCTGGGAGACCCGCAGCAGGCCGAGCCGCATTTCCTCTCGGGCGGCATTCTGCATCTGCGGTGTAGTGACGCCTATCTGGGCCTGCCGGAGAAGATGGCGGCGGCGTTCGATGCGTTCTGTCGCTTGCCAGCCTTTTCTGGGTACACACACGTGTACAAGGTAGATGACACGGACCTGGCGTCTTTCCGCACCGGCGGGATGGGGCAAGGCGACCTGTTGCGTTTTATCGGGCACCATGACTACTCTGGCTTGTATCTCAACAACTTTGGTCCTCTGAAGCAGAACCGACGGTACCACTTCAAGGTCAACGAGCCAGAGTTTTATTGGAATCGACGGTACTACACGAGTGATTTTGTCTCGTACTTGCAGGGAGGCGGATACGTGCTGTCTCGGGCGGCAGCCCGACTCGTGGCACTTGCATGGCCCCGCACCGATGTGGACCGTCTGCGTCGGACCGAGCCGTACGAGGACCTGATGGTCGGCAAGGCACTGCGTCGCCACCAAGTGCTCCCGGTGCAGCTGCCCCCCACGATGCGCGGGTTACTGCCGGTGCATGATGACATGGGCAGCCACGGGTCGCGTACTCCTCTTCTCCACCTGGGTGCGAGTCGCTGCGTTGGAAGTTCGCATTGGCCAAGCCGAGCGCACTCTGAGCCGCCTTGGCAATCACCCACGCCAGAAGGGTGGCTGCACTAGACGCCCAGAGAGGCGCGCGGCGCGGTCCGCGGACGGATGGCTAGGGGAGAAAAAGCGGAGATCCTAGCTCGCTGGGAGGCGTGCGCAACCTAGAGTCGGTAATAGGGGAGAAGGTGTCAGTGTACAGTGTGACACTGCTCTGTGACGTGTGAGGGGTGGGCGTAAAGCCGCGCGCCAAGCCGAAGCCCCGGCTCTCCGCGCGGGACAGTGGCATGGATTTTCTCTTTTTTAGGGTGCCCACAGGGCCCAAAAAAAGAAAAGAAAAAAGAAATGGGCCACCCCAGATCGCAGCACTTCGTGTTGGAGAGTCGAGATATTGAGAGTGTGACTAGGAGGGTGGGACGCTGGGGATTCTCAAAGGTATACCCTTGGAATGGCCGGATCCAGCCTTAAAAGTACGAGATCGCGCGCGCTTCGCGCGCTGCACCGCCTATTCTCCGGGCTGAGTGACGACGCGTGCCGTGTGCCAGCAGAGTTGGGCGCGCGCGGCGCGACGGCGCCCGCGAGGGAAGGCGCGGGTGCAGCGGCCGCCGGCGGCCGTACCGCCCGCCAGCCGGCGCAGCAGCGGCCAGCGCAGCGGCCGCCGGCGCAGCAGCCAGATCAGCCGGTGCGCGCCTTGCGAGGCGAGTACTGCCGCCCGGCAGCCTTGAGGCGGCCGGGCGGCAGTACTCGTTCGAACTTTGCGAGCCGTGCGCGCGCCGAGGCGCCCGCGGCGCGCGCCCGCCCGGCTGCCAGTAGGAGGCGGCGCAATATGGCCTATAGTACAGCCCTTGAGGAGGAGGAAGAGGCTGGCTGGCAGTGCTGTATGCCGCCGAGGGGCAGTTTTGGGGTGCTGTCACGGGCCCAGGGGGCTGCAGAAGGTGTCCGCAGCCGGGACAACCCGCCCCCCCAGCCGAGGCCGGTCGAAGCCCACTTGGGCACAGCCATGAGGAGTCCTCTTGGTGCTCCTGGCGCCCGTTGGAATGGCGAGCGCGCGCCGATGGGGGGGGGGGGGGTCTTGCTTGCTCCACACCGAGCGCCATCGGTCCAGACCGGCGTGCCCAATGAGGGGTGGCCTGCACAAGGTCTGAGCCGCGGGCGCTCGGCGCCAAGTGCAGTGTCACGCTCGCGCTCGCGCGTGACAAACCGGGGAACCCTCGTTTCCTATGTACTCGGTCCCCCAACGGAAGAGGCCTCGCTCCTATTGGAACATTCCAACATCAGATTTGCCTCGTGCGTCCCTTTTTGAGTCGGTAAGCTATTTTCTTTTGGGTCCTGTGGGCACCCTATCTTTTCGTTTTTGCCTTTGAACTGAACCGGTTTTTTGTGTCGTAGCAAAAAGCGCAGATCCGTACTTGTTCAGGGCATGCAGCGAGAAAACATTCATTCACAGGGGCGCGGGGAAGCCCAAGGGAGGTTGCTGGTTGGAGCTCCTGTGTGCGCGCGCGTGTGTGCGTGTGTGCGTGCGTGTGTGCGTGCGTGTGTGTGTACCGCCCCCAGAGACACCCGCTACGGTCCCCACGTCTCGATCTTCTTGGGCAGCAGCTCCTCCGACAGGTCCTCTCCGTGGCCTAGGCAGCCGCGCTCACCCTTGCCCCAGGTAAAGACGGCTCCGTCGGCGGTGATGGCGAGGCTGTGGTCGCCTCCAGCCGACACAGCGACGACGCGCTTGCCAGCCAAAGCCTCGATCTTCTTCGGCAGCAGCTGGTCCTGCTGGTCGTCGTGGCCCAACATGCCAAAACCTCCGTGGCTGCAGCTCCAGACGGCGCTGTCGGCGGTGATGGCGAGGTTGTGGTAGCATCCCGCCGACACAGCGATGACGCGCTGGCCAGCAAAGGCTTCGACCTTCTTGGGCAGCAGCTGGTCTTCCTCGTCGCCGTGGCCCAGCTGGCCAAAGCCTCCCATGCCCCAGCTCCAGACGGCGCCGTCGGCAGTGATGGCGAAGCTGTGGCTTTCTCCAGCCGAGACAGCGACGACACGCCGCCCAGTGAAGGCCTCGACCTTCTTGGGCAGCAGCTGGTGCTGTCGGTCGCCGTGGCCCAGCTTGCCAAAGCCTCCCATGCCCCAGCTCCAGAGAGCGCCGTCGCCGGTGATAGCGATGCTGTGACGCTCTCCTGCCGACACAGCGACGACGTGCTGGCCAGCCAAGGCCTCGGTCTTCTTGGGCAGCAGCTGCTTCTGCTGGTCGCCGTGGCCCAGGATGCCAGAGTAACCATAGCCCCAGCTCCAGACAGCGCCATCGGCGGTGAGGGCGAGGCTGTGCGACCCTCCAGCCGAGACAGCGACGACGCTCTGGCCC